AGGACCTCCACCCGGCCCTGACACCGGTCACCTCCGTTCACCAGCCTCAGGTCCAATACCAAATCAGATCCTGTGGAAAACACACCATTTCTTTTGTGTGTCCCTACTGAGAGCAATGTTCATTCATTCAGATTCTTAGGGTTGAGTAGAAATTTCCTAGAGCATCTCTAACTGGGCTGCAGTTTAACATTTTTGGGGTTTGAGTTCTTCAAGTGGAAAGGTTAGTGAGTGATCTGTCCAATCCAACGCTCTTGAGCTCCAAGTGGTTGTGATTGCTCCTTCCAGTTTATGTTTGGGATATTTCTAGAGACCATCCAGCAGAGCCCTCCGTAAGCAAAGCATTGCAAAGCCCCGTTTCCTAGACTGTGGCACGTGACACCTCAGGCTGAAGAGACTCTTATGATACCACCACATCCTGGGAAAGCCTCTGGCATTCATCTGGGCTCTAGGGTTGGCTTGGAGCACATTCTGCACCTGATCCTTTTGGCCCTATATCCCAGGTCAGGTTAGCACAGAGCTGTGGAGATGGGGGAGCTAGCACTCTGGACTGGAACCTGATCCCTCTGTTTTCTGCCCCTAAACACACAGGCTCTTGGGTCCCCCATGTTCTGAATGAGTCTACCACACCCACGGGGACATGACCGATGAAGGATGTTCCCCTCTAGCTGAGCCCTCTGGTCGAGAAGGGATCGCCCTTTGCAATATGTGCTGACAGCAACACTTCCTCCCACCCCATTCCCTAAAAGTTTTCCTGAATAGGAGTTAAACCCATGGATATACTTGGCATTATGAACTGCAGAGAGGAACTCATGTAAAATTATTCGTTAATTATCACAATGGTAGTCTCAGTATTTACCGTGGTAATCTTATCACATGGCAATTGTAGAAGATGAAAAACAAAACAAAACAAAAACAGAAGATACAAAGTTAGGTCTCCTCTGAGGAGAATCAAGGGCTGGAAGTAAACTGGAATCTACCGAGGAAGTGTCATTCCTAATCTAGATTTTGTCTTGCTGTGTTACTTTGGAAAAGTCAAGAAACATGTCAAACCTTGAGTTTTTCAATTCTAAAAGGCTCTTTGGGTGGGGAATATCTCTGTATCGACCTACTTATCCCTGATTCTGTTCTGACTACATGGGACCTGTGCAGGTCTCCAGGGGATGGATGCAAAAATTACTTCCTATTTTTGTGCCTCTTATTGATTTATCTAATAGCATTGGCTGGTGTCTACAGTACAATACTGAACAGCAATGCAAATAGAGAACACACTTGCCTTGTTTTTGATTCTAGTGGAAATGTTTTTAACGTTTCTCCTTTAAGTAAGACACCAGTTTTAAATCTATGTTTTCAAATTGCTCCAAGGAGCCCTGGCACTTGTCTAGGGCATCTGCAAGAGGTGACTGGGTGCTGGGATTTGTAGAGAAGATGATTTGAGAGCTAATCTTAACCCACTGCATGCGGAGCACTCAGCTGCTGTCTGGGTTATCTATTGGGCTTCTACATGAGTTGTCTGGATCTAGAAGTGTGACACGCCTCACACTGAGCAGAGCAGCTCCAGGTAGGTCCTATCTGTCGTCCTGTGTCACAGACAGATCAGCCAAACCCCTCTGCCCCCATTGCTCCTATTCCTGGCTGGACCAGTTATATCAAAAGCCTTGTCATGTCCAGCTGCTTTTCCTAATACATAACAGTGTCCTCAGGGGAAACCACTACAGAGAAGCGAACAGGTTCTCCTCTTACGGCTGCTGTAAACAAGAAAAGGTAGGGGATCTCGGGAAGGGACATGGCTAAGTTAGAATAAAGCCAGGCTCATCCTCAGCTCTAGTGACATCTGTGACCTTCACCACAGCAAAGAGAAAGAAAAGGTAAAATCAGGCATCATCCGATGGGCCTGAGCAACAGAAAGGCTGATGCAAGGAACATCAGGACTCTCAAGGCCAGGGGCTTGGTATGGAGGTTGTCCTTAATCTTGTCCTAGCTCCAAAGTTTCACATGGGAAATAGAAAGTGACTTCCTTTCCCGAAGCCCAGGCTGCCAGAACCTCTGGCTATATTGACTGTGCCTCGCAAACCTCTCACTGGAAATGTCCCCGTGGGAAGTATAAGACCTCTGATGGCCACAGGCTGAGGATCATGATTCTCTAGGTTGAGAGGGAGCCAGGATGGCCTAATGTGGGCAAGGTGGCTGCCCCAGCAGGTTGGCTACCTAACCAGGCCTGCACGTGCCTCTCCAGGCTCTGCAGCCAGAGACCCAGCCCCAGGCTGGTCAGGGGTCGGCATGGGTTGGTGAGCACCACAGTGCCAGCATTAATCACGGGCAACAGACCCCTAGAAACAGCACAGCAGGCTCCACCTTGCAGCTTCTTGAAGATGCCTCTTCAGGTTGACTCCCTCCCAATCTTAGACATGATCCGCAGAAGAGATGCCTATTGAGGTCTGAGATCATGCTCAGAAGGGACCCCCTTGGGAGCTGAGCATCCACACCTCCTAGGCCCTCTGCTCCTCTTCCGGACCAGAGATCAACCTATGGGTGCCACAGGGTAATACTCCCATGGGGGTCCCACGTACCAACGTTACCTTCTGCTGTAGCTGATATTCTGGGTGCCTCGGTGGAAGACAAAGCAGCTGCAGAGGGGAAAGAACAGACCAGTCGATGTTAGCCCTCACCAAGGAGGGTCAGCCCTCTGCTTCCTCGGCCCCGAAGCAAGAGCTGGACGCAGAGACCCTGAAGCCCCCTCCATTGCTAAAATGCTGTGTTCTCCCCGTGAAACCCAATGCCAATCTCTTGGTCACTTTGCCAGCCGCCGTTCAGTGCTGGGCTGCTGCTGTGAGCGTCCTCTGCTCCTGCCACCGTCCTCCACCTCCTGTGCTTCCACGGTCTCCATCCAGAAATCACCCAGCTCATTAACAAGCTCATCCTAATCAGAAGATTGAACTTCAAATGACATCCACCTTTTTCTATAGTTCAAACATACTCAAATGACAAATATTTGCCATCACCAAGATATTCCTGCGAAGGTGCCCCCAACCAGGAAGAAAGGCGGTTTCCAAAGATGCCCTCAAGAAGCCAAAATAAACCCACCCACTAGTGGCTTCCCTGAGGACCCCACTCCCTGCAGAGCCCATTCTTGTGTGGTGGATGGATGGTCACATCCTGTGCATGGTGGCACGTGCACAGGCCCGTCCACACAGCGAATGCCAGAGGTAGCTCCCAAAGGGGACGGTTTAAATAGAAACTCCTCTTTGGGGGACACACAATGGGACGGTATCCTCGGAGGTTTCTTTGTGGGTTAAAGGACCCCCTGGTGTTTGAACACCTACCAGCATGATGTGAACACAGGAGAAACGCAGTCAGGGCCTCACTGGGCTGCAACAGGCAGAAGTTCTCTATCCCACTGAGGGTGTAAGTATCAGTTGCTTGTCATTTAATCCCCAGTAAAGAGAATGTAGTGGTTACTCCTCAGTTTGATTTTGGTGTGCTTTTAAGTGTTAAGGACCAGCAGTTCCCTGATCCTCCTCCTCCTTTAAAGGAGGAAAAACTGCCACTTAGGAAGATACTTATGTGGTCATCCCAGGCCAGGGATGGTCACGAGGCTGCTCATGAGAACCAGTCCACTGAGTCATTGCATCAGCAAGCTCAGAGCAGGACTGAGGCCGACGCTCACCTCCACCGCTTCCCAGCTTTAGGTCAACAGACAGGTCCCTTCACCTCCTGAGCCTCAATTTCTTTGTATGTGAAAATGTACAGTAATACCTGTCCCCTAACATCAGATGAGGCATGTCTTACAGCAGAGCAGGTAAACCGGAACACACGTGCATGCATGTGCACACACACAACACACATGCATAGAACACACACACAACACTCACACCCCACACACAGCACACACGCAGCACAAACACACAGTAATTTCAACTCTGAGTCAATATCTGTCCTCGGAGTTGCACACACGACACCGGGAGGGGGGGTGAACACACACACAACACTCACACCCCACACACAGCACACACGCAGCACAAACACACAGTAATATCAACTCTGAGTCAATATCTGTCCTCGGAGTTGCACACACGACACCGGGAGGGGGGGCGATATCTGCACTACCTGAGCACACAACTCCAGCGTCTTCCCTGTGACCACATCTGTGGCTGTACCACCTGCTGTGGGAACAGCTCGACAGGTAGGGCTCCCTTCCTGAGCAGTACACGTCACCCAAGAGAATGTTCCCTGAGCCATGACCAAAGTGGGCCTCGCTGGGGGCCGACACAGAATGGCCACAGCCAAGCTGGCGACATATGACATTTGCATCCTGGGTGTCCCGGCTGTCGTCACACACAGTGCCCCACGAGCCTTGCTACAGAACCTCCACCCAGCCCTGACACCGGTCACCTCCATTCACCAGCCTCAGAGGCAAACCTGCATCTACACAGCAGGGAGCCCTCACCTTGGCGCTGTCAGCCCCTGACCTGAGCCACCCAGCTCTCCTTTTTCTACCCCTCTGGCCACCCTGTCCCATCTCCCACACTGATTCTTCTCCTCTCAGGACCTTAAATGTCACTGTTCTCCCAAGTACTGTCTTTGCTCTCTTCTCACCCTGTCTTTTCCTCCTGGTGAATCTCATGTACTCTGAGAACTTTCCAGACAGAGGAGCCCACATCCACCTCTCTGGTCCTGACCCAGCCCTGTCAGCCCCAGCCCTGAGCTCTAGGCCACCACTGTCCGTGGCCTCCTGGATATCCCACCGCCACCATCCCAAACTCAATACAGTCTCTCTCCTCCAGCTGGGTCAACGGTGTCACCGTGCTCCACATCCACTGTGCTGGAAACTTCGACATCACATATGATTCCTCCTTCTCGCCTCTTACACACAACTTGTCACCAAGCCCACTTTCCTTTCTACTCCCACTGCCATTTCACTGGACCAGACCTTCACCCTCTGGAACCAGGCCTACTCCAGGGGCGTCCCAGGGACCTCCTAGCTCTGCCCCTCCTTTCTCTCATCCATCCACACTCATCGGTTCAACCAGCCTTTACTCTGTGCCCGTTCCCGTGCTAAGCGGATTCGTCTGTCTCCACCAGACTGTCCTCAAGTTCTTTATCTTTAGAAAGCACACATATATTCAAGTCACTTCCCGGCTCTAGACACTACAATGTACTCTCCACTGCCACCAGGATCAAGTCCCAGATGCCATCGTCATGGGCCTGATCCTACCCTTCCAGTCTCCTCTGCTGTGAGGGGATGAGAGAGCCTAATTCCTACCATAGAGATGACCACAGCTGATGCTACTAAACCACCCACTGGTGAAAAGCTGCACTGATTATGCAAAGAAAGCAGGCAAGAGGTCCTGAGGGACCCAGCCCAACATCCTGACAGCAGGAGCCAATCCTGGGTATGGCTTTTCTATGGTTACTTTGAGGTTACAAAAAATTTGTGGCCAGAGAGCTTGGAACAGGATGCAAGACACAGTGGGCAGGTTGCTGTTGTTGGGGTGGGGGTAGGAGGGGGTCAGGAAAAAAGGAAGGAAAGGCCAACTGGACTATTCCAGGGAGTTCCCAGAGTGCATTCTGGGCCTCCTTAACCCTTCTTCCTGCCCCTTTCTGGTCACTCCTGTGAATGATCCCTCTGAAAGAGCTTTTGGTTTCCCAGCATGAAAGAGCTTTTGGTTTCCCAGCCTCAGCCTGTCCTTTGCTGGGGGTCAGCCAGTAAGCTGCCCCTCAAGAAGTCTTGTCCTGGAAGGTGAAAAATTGGCCTCAACAGTGCCAGTGGCTCAACAGCAGAATCAGTTGTCTTAAGGGAACACACAGATGACCCTGACACATCAAACGTTGGCACAAAGGTCTGCATGCTCTCACTTTGAAACGTGAAGAGAAACAGGTCATAGACAAACATCTCTTGTCCGTCAGAGTGCTCTTCCATAGTAATGTCAGAGATGGGGGGAAAGGCACCCCTCCTAGGTTCCAATCTCTGCCCTGCCACCTACCAGCCATGTGATCATATACAAGTAAGTATTGATAAACTACCTAACTGTGCCATGGTTTTCTCATTGACAAAATGGGCACAATAATAATATTTACCTTAAAGTGTTGTTGGAGAGATATAATGATAATAGCACTTACTATATGCATTAGTTGAGCATTTATTGTGTGCCAGACAGTATTTTAAATATTTTTTTGTATTAACTCAGTGCATGAAAATAACTTTGTGCAGAGTACATAACAAGTGCTTGGTAGAGGTTAGTTACCTCTAAGACAACTCTTATCATCGGTAAGAAGAAGCAATGACTTTTTTTTCCCCCAATTATCCTGACTCTGAGCTGAAGCTATCTCATCCAACGAATGACTGAGAGTCAGAAAGAAGGAAAGAGAATAACAGAGGGGATTGGCTGAGTGTGCGTCTGAGATATGCCCGGGGCTTGGGCACCTATATCTGTTGTCCCTGCTCCATCCCAGCATCCTAAAAGGCAGGCATTTGCTCTGTGGCCAGGGCTGCACTCAGCCTCAACTAAGCCTACAGCAGCAGCAGAGGCACAGCTGGTCAACCCAGCCAGTAATCAAAGCCCTGGGAAGAGGAATAAAGAAAGAAAAGGACTTACCATTGTCTCTAGTCTGCAGGATCTTCTGACCTAGAAAGAAACCAAATTCATCTTAGAAAAGAGGTCCCACTGTTTAGAAACGATCTCCTGCAGGTCACAGAAATTGGCTTCAGCTTCACCTTACAACCATGCCAGGGGGCGCTGTGTTTCCTTCTTGGGTTTGTGTGCCTCCAGCGTTCTCACTAAAAGTAAGTTTTTGCAATAGCAGGTTGAAGCAAGAGAGTTTGACATGAGATGTTCAACAATTTTAGACATAATAAAGTACATGTCTCTGCTAGGCCCCCTAATGCCACAGCTTATAGTCACAGGATATAATCTATGCTCTGAAAAAAGGGCTGGACAAGAGACGATAGTTTAAACTGGTTGTCAAGAATAAGTTTAAATGATGGTTTATGTATATTTTAGAGTTTAATTCCTCAGAGAAGAGATAAGACTATTGGAAGAAAAATGTAGATTTTCAAAGTTTAATATACCAAGGATGCATGTTAAATTCTCTTCTTTTCCAAATGTGAATAATTTGTGCGTAGAAACAGATATTCATTTATGTAACCTTTAAAAAAAAAATAAAAAAAATAAACTGGTTGTCAAGGATTCCAAGTGCACAGTCCAAAAATCGAGAACAGTCAGCACTGAGAACAGCCACTCATGGGCTCTTAAATGAGAGAATATTTTGGTGTCTGATATCCTGTTCCTTCTGACCCATATCCTGAGAAATTTTTATTCTATCTTGAAACAAACCAAAATCTAGAGAACCCTGGATCTTTGTCATCAGTGAGTCCAGAGAAGGTGCATCAGACTCAATTTTAGTTTTTGAGTTGCTGTTTGAGCAGGTCTAACTATATTCATGAGGATTAATATTTCACTATTTTAAAACATATTTTAGAGGTCTTCAAAAGGACAGAGAAGATAGACACATATTCATTAAAAAAAATAGAATGAAACTCGTTCTATCTTCTAATTACCATATGGATTCATTGGGTCCTTTTACAAATCCAGGTTACATTACGGGCTCTTAGTGATCTTATTTTTCCTGTATCTTGAAACATTTTCCTAATTCATCATCCAAGAAATTATTTCATCATTACTCATCAATTATTTCGTGTAAGGAGGGTTAAGGCACTTGAAAAACTCCTCAGATTCTTTTTCAATGCAGGTCCTGGCAAGACCAGCAGTCAGGGTTTGGAGATTTGAATTTCTCTAACAGAACCAACCAGCCAGTGAAAGGACTTGCTGCGTATGTCAGGGACCTGCTCCACCTGCCCCCAACAGCTAGAATGAGGGTCCACAATAGATTCCTCTGCCTGCCCTGCCCATGTTTTTGATGGCCCAATAAGAGGGCCACTGAGGCCACGTGGCTACACACCCCTGAAAATGAGGAAGCAATTCACAGCAGGAACAGGCAGCCAGAGCCTTCTTTCAACAGAAACAGCATCTAGAGAACATCCGCCCCAGAACATGCCCACCTCATTTCTGACACACCGCGCCTGTTCCCACACTCAAAGACACGCTGACAGATGTTCCTGAGAGAGCCATCTATTCAAACTCTGCCATTTAAGCACAGTCCAGATGACACCATGCAATTTCCATTGCCCGGCTCCAGGTGTCCTGCTTCGTCACATGGCTGTCAAGGCCAGGATCTGCATCCAACTCATGAACTCTGACCTCTAGAGTCTTGACAATGCTCATCCATTGCAATGAACAGAACTTTGAAGTTGTTTTGGGTTGTCCTATGTCCATGCATTTTGAACAGGCCCTTTTGCACTGATTGTTGAGACCAACTTATCTTCTCCCAATAATCAGCTACGTAGTTGTAGATGATTCTGGCTGCATTTTGGGAGTGGTGGTAACTTACCTGAAGAGAAGCTTCTACTTGTTTGTCTTCCAGGAAATGGAGACAAGCTGGTCTCTACCACTGAGGACCAGTGTCCAAGATGAGCTGTGAGAATCGCCCAACCAGGAGAAACCACAAAGAGATCACTCAAGACATCCCCCAGAGACCTAGGCACTTTCCCCCTGGACTCAGCCATTGCCACAAATCTCATGAAGGTAGGAAATGTACCTACTGTGTATTTATTGCTCTTATGGGGAAAAACTGAAGACCTTGAGCATTAGAACAAGCAAGGCATCATCAAGCCAGCCCACATCTGCAGGTAGGCCACTTCAGTGATGCTGGAAGAGAGGCCTAAGGGGAAGAACACTCTGGAAAGGAAACTGAAGAAAGCATTCATGAAGACGTACTGTGTCTTTGCAATTTTTTAAAGACAATACTCTGTCTTACTATTTATATGCATTATCTCATTTGATCCTCCCTCCAACCCTGTCATCTGTTCTTACGATAACACTGAGGCACAGACACTATGAAAGCAGACAAGGACACACAGACTCTAACTTCCCTGTCTACCCTCTTAACTGGCATCCTGTACTTGCCTCTTGTCACAGCTACTGCCTGCCACCAGACCCACTCCTTCTGGTTCTTGCTGATGCAAAGAGGGTGGTCCCTGCCAACCTACCTTCCATAACCCACCCAAGGTGGGTCTTCAGTGGGAAGTCATTCAGCAGCTTTGACTAAGATTTCGTACTGCTTTTCTATTGCTTTTGCAGCACCAGTCAAGATAAGATCATATTGCTCATCATGGTTTTCACTTTTAAAAAGGCAGTAAGTGCTTCTCCTTTGCTTATCACAAGTGCGCAGGTTATTTCATCCTCGCAGGTACTATCTTTTCTACCCTGTAGCCTGCATCTATCTCAGTGGGGGTTAAGGATTTTGTGAATGGGATCCTCATCTGAGTCCTCTCCATGAAGTCTCATTGTCCTCAAGTGAAAGGCCAGCCAGAGGGGATGATACAGAGGCGTGAGATGCCACAAAGTGGATGTTGTGCCAGACATTAAGCAACTGTTCATTGCTTAACATGCTGATTCAAGACGTGACCAAGAATGAGCTCTCCAGAGACTGACTCACCGATCCTGTCTGCAGACTCACCGATCCTTGCCTCCACGTCTCCGTCCACATTTAGACAAGGACCAAGGACTTGGAAAGCAAACGAATCAAATCTGACTGCAGCTATTCACCCTTTTGTCCCCAAACGCAAACCTTGTCCTCCCACCAGACACAGGCAATACTTCCAAAACTTTACTGATCGGAAGTCTTTCTTCCTAGAGCTTCAGAGAACTTGTCAAGAGCAGAGATTGGGAAATGGGACCTAGAGAGAGCCTCCCACCAGGACACTCCCCTGACTAGACACCATATTAGGATGGCTGAGCAGGGAGGAGGATTTACTGATCGGAAGTCTTTCTTCCTAGAGCTTCAGAGAACTTGTCAAGAGCAGAGATTGGGGAATGGGACCTAGAGAGAGCCTCCCACCAGGACACTCCCCTGACTAGACACCATATTAGGATGGCTGAGCAGGGAGGAGGGGAGCATATGACTGTTAGGGGGATGGTGGCCACAGTCACCCTAGGTTTGTACCTGTTCCTTTCAAGTTCCTGACAGCAGTGCTAGTGAGTGACAGGCAAACGCTCTCCTTCCTGCTTGGCCTGGCTGCCCCTGCACCTGCGCCAGAGCTCAACCCAGCTGCAACTTCCTCAGTGTCTTACTCATGCCTCTCTTACGAGGTGCCCCTTGCTCCAGCACGTTTCACACATGTGATTGTGCCTGTGTGATCGGCTGATATGTTCATCTCCCCATGAGGCCATAAGACCCTGAAGGCAGAGGACATGCTCCCCTGAAAAGTACAGACAGAGCTCAGGCCGTGGTCTCTCCTGCTTAGGAGCATCCTAGTGGGACTGGTTCTTGCCAAATGATGCAGAAGGATGTTGAGACCATTTTGAGCGTTCAGTGTGAAAAGTTCAACATCAGCAATCTGCTTATGAAAAAGTCTTTAATATCAACAAATCAAACTTATGATGTAGCCAACATCCATTTGGGAAAATGTTAAAAAACTTAAATTCACTTGACAATAAACAGAAATAGGTAGCACTTAAAATATATATACATATCTCATGTCACTTTCTTTGGAAATTCTTAGCTAAGTAATGCTTCCTCAATTACATTGCGAGCACCAAAGTTTAATTTGCTACTGGGCCAGCAGGATGGTTGTTCAAAGTGCGGTCTGCAGACCATCCTTATGTGTGGTTCTATAAAATCACACATTCCTGAGCCCAGCTCAGGCCCTCCAAAGCAGGGTCTCTGGAGGGAGGCAGGTGAACCCCAAAGACCTGCATTCAAGCAAATACTCTAGTTGATTCTGACATGCACTGAAGTTCGAGGCAGAAGCAAAATAAAATTGAAAAACATAATTGTGAAGCCACATGGTCCATCTACGCTGTAGCTATAAGAGGTTTCTATTGACTTTGTAGTTCTAGAAAGGACACAAATCGTACTTTTATGAAGTCCTTATACCATTCATTAAAGTTCAGCAAGGCAGCATTTATTCGTATGATATAAATACCTTTATAGGATAAAATAATTTTATAAACTAATACAAAATATTCTTTTTAAAGGTGTTCTGAAAAGATTCGTTTCAGGAACTGTAAAGAAATAAAAGAAAAATC